AGGAAATATTTGGGAGGAGATCAAAAGCAATGAGCCTTTTAGAGTTGGAGTTTCGGTTGCTTGGTTTTAATAGATATTTGAATGCCTTCTTTTATTTCGATTTAGATCTTTGAAAAAAGAAGATTCAAGTGGTATGAAATCTTCTTTCTCTAAATAGCTGACTTGCATTTTTATTGTTGTTTCTTTAAATTGCAAATAGAATTTAAAATTCCTTCTCATTAAAATTTTAAGGATGCATTTTAAAAAGAATATTTAAATATTATCTGGAAGTATTCAGTTTTAATGGCTACTTATTTAAAAATAACATCTTATATTATTTTTTTTAAACTTTGTATATTTTAAATATGTTACATAAGATACTACAAAACAGTTCTAGACTAATAATTATTACTTCACTTAGATGCATATTATTAAAGTTTTTGCAGGTTTAAAATGAAATATTCAATATATATCAAAGTAATTAATCAGACTCCTTCATAAAATAAAATATTGCAACATTTAAGAAGTAAATTAACTGATAAATAAATTATCAATTTTTAGCTTTGATTAATAAAGAAATTATTCAAAATAAATAAATTATTGTGAAATTATTAAAAATCAATTCTCTTATTAATTCATTATTCCTTTCCAAATAGTAGTTAAAAATTTAAGATTTGATTTTTTTAAAGAAATTTTTAAATTTAATTTTAAAAGACATATCAGTTTTTAAAGAATTTTTGATAAATGATTAATTTACAATAAATTTTAAAAATTTCAAGCCATATGTTTTTAGTGTAAGTATCCATGTTCTTTGTAACTTTTAATGCATCATATTTATTTTGATACTTTAAACTTCAGTAACCAGTAAAGACCTATAAATTTTTAACAATTTATTTGATTATGATCTTTAAAAAACATATATATATATATATATATAATTTTTATAGTAAGTATAACGCTTTTATAAATTCAAAGAAGCAAATGAAGTAGCTTTTAAACAAGTTGAAGTAATGAAAACGAATAAAATCTTTCTATGTAATTATTGTAATTGAGTTCTTTAAAGAATCTTTTGCGACAATTAATAAAGAACGACAATTGATAAGATCATTAAAAAAAATGAACTATACGATAAAAAATAAAATGAATTTATATCTAAAATGTTAAAAGAGGATTAAAAAAATTAATAAAATGTTATGTAAAATGCATACGAAAACATAGCTTCGAGTAGATATTCGAAAAATTTGAATGTTTATATTCTAATTTCTAAAAAAAAAAAAAATATTAAAATTAAAAAAATGTGTTTTAAATTTTTTTATTTCACGGTTTGGTTGTATTAAATTACGTTTGTTGTTAATAGGCATGATAATTTAATAAATGAGCAAAAATTGGTCTATTTTAAAATTTAATTTCCTATAAATTAGCACTTAAATTCAGAAGGAGATGAAGATACCAAAGTATATTAAACAAATTAACATGCTTAATATTAGAATTGTTTTTGGTATACTTCATTTAATTTATTAGGAAGTACTGACATTTCCTTAGAAGCCTCAATTGATTAATGAAATCAGAAATGATTAGTAGAATTCAATATTATTAGAATGTCAAACGCATTGGAAATAATCACACGTTTCATAATATCTAACTAACATTAAAAAATATAATTCTTCATGTTAATTTCGTTTCAAATTATTAAAAAATGTTTGCAAAGAAAGTCTTACTGAATGACACATTTGCTTGAGAAATTTTTTATGATTTCGCTTTTATTCGAAGGACTGGCTGATTTTGTTAGATGCGAAATTTTCAACATTGTGCAATATATGCATATAATATTATTCATTAAAGGGATAGTTCCAAATCATTTTAAAGTCAATAAAAAAAATGGAGCAATATTTTGCGTTAAAATATATCGTATTAAATGTAATCTAAAATGTGCACTATGATATACATTTTTACAGAGGAAGTATCTGATAAATATACAATATTGCAGGTACCAAATTTCAGGATATTTAAATTATGTAAAATTAAATAGAGTTTATGTGCTTGTTTGCATCTTAATACATCCAGCCAAACCCTTTACAGTACTTAAGCATCATATCCTACAATATACTTATTAAACTAATTTACTACAAAGTTATTAAAGAGTTTTAATTATTCATTCACCTAATAGAATAACAAAAGTGAAATATTACTAAGATTAATAATTTCAACATAATTATTACTTCAATAATGCCTTAACGAAAATATTAACAATTTGTCAACCAATTTCTTCCCCACATAGGGTTTTTTTGTATATTATTATTTTATATTAGCTTAAAAAATACTTGTATCAATCGGTGCATGATAGAAACTAATACGCCCGGAAAATTTTAAAGGAATGTTTTAATGAAAAACTTTCAAATTTATTCTATCGCAAAAATATATCTGAAAAGAAATGAATTTCTATCGCACAAACAGTACTTTTAACTTGGTAGCAAGTCTATTATTATTTTATACAAAAAAATGCATTATTCTATTATTTCAAAACTTACAAGGTGCAGACTTCTATTATTTTTAGGTTAAACTTTTTGATTACCTTTCGTATAACTAATAAACTAAAAGAAATTTCGTAACCAAACAAATTCAGTGCGTGGCGAGATGTGTTTATTTAACTTGCCACAATTGGAACAAAATTATCAATGAATATTTTTCACCTAACATTTTTGTATGGCGAGGCTAAAATATAAATGGTGAGAATATTATTTAACTTAAGCAATATTGCATCTTCAGAAAACTTCTAATTTGTTGTTGTTGTTGTTGTTTCTTGTCCCACTTGGCTGGCCAAGCCCGAGCACATACGTACTCATGATTGAAGGGGAAGGGAAGCTTGGCTTCTGTTGTGATGGATCACCCGTAGGTAGAGTCTGACTTTGGCTCCGTGACGCTCTTACAGTGATAGGAGACCGGGACTATGGCAAAGTGGATTCCGAACCACTACAAACATCCATGGCACCACCTCCGGGATTCGAACCCGAAACCTGTGGCACCGAGCGCCAGGCGCTAGACACTCGGCTATTCAGGTCCCAATTTTTGTGAATGTCAACGGCGCAGTGTTCAGGTGGTAACCCACCCCGCGTACTAACCGCGCCCAATGACGCTTGACTTCGGTGATCTAACGAGAACCGGTATATTCTAATTTGTTCATAAATATATTAGATGTTTTCTGAAAATGAACAGTCACATATCATTAAAGAATATTTTCAATAATATGAAATACGGTAGAAAAGTCTAAAATAGAAAAATGTAATATTAATTTTGTCAATTTGAAGTTAAATTTTTATTTTAGTGAAACTATTCAGATTTGATAAAAGATTCTAATCAAAGCGTGAATAAATGGCACATTATCTTTTAATTTTGATTATTTGGAATTTTCGTTTCCTCCTCAACATTCCCAATAATAATGTTTAGGTTAATCCTTGTTACCAGTTTTACAAAGTGAGTTAACCTGATTATTACTTTTTAAAATTTATAATACTTAATTATTGGGAATATCTAATACAAATTCATTTTATTAGAAAATGCAAATTATATAACTAAAATTTTAATACGAATATATATATGCCTTTAAGAATCAATATTTTCAAAAAACATATCATTACAATTTTTCATTTATTATTGTTTTCGTCTGGAAGCATAAGATTTATATACTAAAAAATATTAAATTTCAAAAACAATTTGAACAATAAATCAACGTATTCCTTGTTTTCAGTATACATTTTAAGATGTTCCTTACGAAAGTATATGGAAATTGCATTTAAAATCTATTTATATAAACAATTCACGAATCCATTTTCAAAAAGATACTCACACTTTTTGCATTACTAGATTGAGTGAAACTTCCACGAAAAAGTGCGCAATAGAATAAGAACCATTCCAAAAGCATTGTCGGATAATAAAATAAGATAAAATTCTTTAAAAAGGAATACAAAATTCTGCATTTTACGCAACAACATTCCGTTTCAAACATTCCCCAAAAACGAAAAGAAAAAACTATTTTCTATTTTCTTTTCCTTTCCTTTTTAAGTAAACCTGTCCTTAAGGTTCGTAAAATGTTATTCAGTTTTTCGAAGCTATCTGACCACCTGCATGCATAAAATATACCATTGTTAGAGCAAAGTAGAGTTTAAAAGATTAAGCATTTGAAATCTTCTTGGAATGCCCGGGCAACAACATGTTGAAAGGCATTAGCACCCACAATTTATTGATGCAGGCCATCAGTTTCTTGGAAAGAATAAAAAAGAATATTTAGAAGAAGTAAAGTTTATAACCATTCACTTTCATGATAATATCATTCTGTAAATAATAATAATAATTCCTAAATAACCAGGTTTAAAATGTCTAGTAATTTTAAAATTCCATCCATTTCCATCCAAAAACAGAAAAGTTCAAAATTCAAAAATCTCCTTTCAAATCTTTCATAGAATGTCAAGGACAACAGCAAGTTAAAAAAGCATTACTACCATAATTTATTGATGAAGGACATCAGTTTTTTGCAAAGAATAAACAATATTAAGAAATACTAGGATAACGATTTGCTTTCATGGAAATAGCATTTCTCTACAATTCACTAAGTAATAACAATAATTAATAATAATTTCTAAATAACCAAGTTTAGTATGTCTAATAATTTGTAAAAGACCCGATTTCCATTCAAAATTAGAAGAATGACAGGGTAACAACAAGTTGAAAGGCATTAGCACCACAATTTTTTATGCAGGCCATCAGTTTTCTTGCAAAAGAGTAAACAAGAATATTAAGAAGAAAATTTTACTTAACAAGAAACATTTACTTTCATGATAATATCATTTCTTTTTACAATTCTCTAAGAAATAATAATTTCTAAATAACCAAGTTTAACCGGTCTAAGAATTTCGAGAAAACTAGGTTTAAGAAAATTTTCAGGTTAAAGGCATTAGCATCCACAATTTATTGATGTAGGCCACCAGTTTCTTGCAAAGGAATAAACAAGAATATTTAGAAGAAATAAGATTAATAACGATTTACTTTCATGCCAATAGCATATCTCTACAATTCTCTAAATAATAATAAATAAATAATCTAAATAATCAGGTTTAAACTGTCTAGCAATTTCTAAAAGAAGAAATTTTTATTCAAAAGTAGAAACATTGAAAATTTTAAAATTTCCATACTAATTCTTCATAGAAGGCCAGGATAACAACAAGTTAAAAGACATTAGCACCACAATATATTTATTTAGGTCCTCAGTTTCTTCAAAGAATAAACAAAAATATTTAGAGGAACTAATGTTTATAACAATTTACTTTCATGATAATATCATTTCTCTAAAATTCTGTAAATAATACTAATAATTAATAATAATTTCTAAAAAAAAAAAACAAATTTATTTTCAAAAATAGAAAATTCAAAACATTTCCATTATAATTCTTCTTAGAATGCCAGGGCAACAACAAGTTAAAACATTTACTTTCATAGCAATAACATTTATCTACAATTCTCTAACTAATAATAATAATTAATAATAATTTCTAAATAACCAGGTTTAACCTGTCTAAGAATTTTTAAAAGACCAGGTTTCCATTCAAAAGTAAAAAATAAATAAAATTTAAAAATTTCCATTCTAATTCTTTTTAGAATGCCAGGAAAAACAACAAACAAAAGGCATTAGCACCACAATTTATTGATGAAGGCCATCAGTTTTTTGCGAAGTATAAGCAAGAATATTTAGAAAAAGTATAGTTTATAATCATCTACTTTCATGATAATATCATTTCTCTTCAATTCTGTAAATGATAGTAATAAGTAATAATAATTTCTAAATAACCAGATTTAACCTGTCTAATTATTTCTAAAAGACAAAGTTTCTATTCAAAAATAGAAAAATTCAAAATCTTCCATTCGAATTATTCTTAGAATACCAGGGCGACAACAAGTTAAAATGCGTTAGCACCACAATTTATTGATGTAGGCCAATTTTATTGAAGTGGGACTAATAACGATATACTTTCATGGCAATATTATTTCCAGACAATTCTCTAAGTAATAATAATAATGAATAATAATTTTCTAAATACTCAGGTTAAAGAAGTCTAACAATTTCTAAAAAGACCAGGTTTCCATTCAAAAATGGAAGTCAATGTGAAGTAATGGAACTTTTAACAAAATTTACAGGTTTAGAAATAAGAAGCATTTCAATACATGGGCAGAATAAGATTCACCATTCTTTTCAAAAATAGTACGGAATTTTGCATTCCTTGAAATAGCATTCAGAGTACGTCATTCTGGTGAAATCGTCTTATATGAATACTGACAATAAGTCAAAAGGCATTGTTGATAATTCGCACATCGTCTACCATGTGTAAATCGCTGATCTTATTTTGTTTCCTTCAACTTACAACATACTGGCCTTGCCACCCATGCAAAAGTTAACAATGCACATGGTATTCTGCAAATTTGTCTGCTGGGATAAAAGCCATGTAACTACAAAACACGCTGTCCTTATTCCCTCGAATTTAGTGATAGAATATTTAATGCTATTCAGCTACTTAGGGAAAAAGGGTGGATGGGCGTGTAATGATAAACTCATTATTTTAATAGCAACGGTTATTTGCTTCACATTGAAGGTAACGATGCAAGCCATTTGCTAGAGACCTTTCAATTATGAATGTTGATTCCTTAAAATACCTATTTCGATTTTGATAGAGCCATTCAATCCGTCACTTTAATAGAGAAATAGTCATAATCATAAAAATAAAATTATCAAGGGCCAACAAAAATACTAATTCATGCCTACCATTGTTTGTATCGATCATAAATGTATTTCTTAAACTATACATTTTTAACTTTAATACTGTATTAAATGAAATTAAAAAAAAAAATCGATGCTTTATTTGTTGTATGTTATTCTTACATCTAGAGAAAAATAAAATATGTTATTTTAAAAAATGGTCACATAAATCGGTATTTCTCTCAACAACCATCCAAGTTTGCCATTAGAAAATAAAATAATCCCACTTTTTTTTTATCTTTAGTAAGCTATCTTTTAAGAATCGCAGAATGTTACTCAGTTTTGTTGGAACTATCGACCACCGCATGCATAAAATATCCATTGTTAGAAGAGAGGCCCGTTTAAAAGATTAAACACATGAAATCTTCTTAGAATGCAAGGTCAACAAGAATATTGAAGTTAAAAGGCATTAGGCAGCATAGATTATTGATGCCCAGCCCGTCATCTGTCAAGCTAAAAGTAATTCCTTACCATCCATGTTTCTGAAACTTTGGGAAAGATGCTTACTTTTTATTCTTCACGTAAGCAGCACCGATTTATTAAAGATATGACTAACTTACTTAAGATGGGAAATCGTTATTTTGATTTCCTCAGTTTAAAAGCGCGAGATAAAAAATAGCACGATTTATGGTTATAAATCGGTTATATTGATCCCTTGAGTTTTTCTTACAATTGATTCTTTGTTCATTTTAAGTCCTGGATTTTCCTACCACTTGTGCAGTAAATCATATCTTATGTAGTCCTTTTTAAATCAATATTTTATGCATGCAATGAACTTTGATCAGAAAATGTATTGATAAGTCTTGCACGAATTAGAAAAATATCTGTATTTTTTTTCATATTTTTTGTTTTTGAAAATTAGGCTTAAGCATTTCGTTGACGGTTTTTCAGTTTGTTCATATTATTGCTTGAACCTTTACTATGTCATTACCATCATACCAAAAACTTGAGAAATTATAAGTTAATTAACAGCCGTCAACGAAATGTTTAAGCCTAATTTTGAAAAAAGAAAATATGAAAAAAATATAGTTATTTTTTTAATTCGTGTATGACTTATCAATAAATTTTCTAATCTGAGTTCGTTGTATGTGTAAAATATTGATTTAAACCAAGATTACATAAGATATGTTTTACAACAAGTAATATAATAGTAGCAAGTAATATATAATATTAGCACAATATTAATATTACACTATGTATTACTATTACACTATATACTTTATATTATACTTTATATTGATGTTATATACTTACTATTAATATTAATAAAGTTAAAAAAGGTAAACCCTCATTTTGTTGTTATTGAAGTAAATGTTAATTTACAGCATTTAGTTAAAAAATTCTAGTCAAACTAGCACATTACGAGGAG